TAAAGCTTCACAGACAAAATGTAAAAAGTAAAGGCCTTTTCTGAATCTTGTTAGCTTTGTAGTAGATTGATTTGAACATGTGGGGAACAGTGATGCAGCATCACCACCCAGCATTCAGTTTTGTTGTGTTTTGTTTGTTTTGTTTTTGTTTTCAAGAAGTCCAGTGAGATGAATTCTGGACACAAACTCCCAGGGCTGGAATGGTACAATACAAGCCCTAGAGGACTATTTTTTCCCCTTTGCATTTCCCTCTTCCTGGGAAGTCTCTGGTTTTAACTAGTGATTCCTTTAAACCACTCGAGCCTTCTAGAGGCAGTCCCCAGCTGAGGGGAGTTGGGCAGGAGTCCTCCTGGAATTCAGCAACACTGCACCTTGAACAAGAAAGGCGCAAATGCTGTGCATCATGAACTATCCCCTCCCAGTGCTGTGCTGGTGCTGAGCATGCTGCTTCTGTAGGACTTTTCCTCTTTTGCAGGTAGTAGGCAGACAGCCCAGTTTGACAAGTGATCTTGGGGATCTTGCAGAGCAGTCCCTGTTATGGCACAAAAGTTTCACTGGGAGCTTAATTGTACAGAAAGGGGAGAAGGAACAAGGGCTAGCTGCTAACGAGGGGATTGGGAATCAGAATACCTGGGTCCTACCAGCAACTCACCATGTGGTCATAGGCAAGTCACTTCACCTCTGTGAATCAGCAGCCCGATGTATAAATTAGGGATAATGTTCACATTCCTCACTACTAGAGGAGGAATATGCCCATTCCTTGCCATTTGTCTTCCTCTCCTCCATCCCCGTGCACACCCTGAGATGAAGGATAACATTCTGATGCACAGTGGTTTATGCTGATGGAAGCGTGGTTCCAGAGTCCTGACCGCCAGTGTATCTCTGGATTGAGAATTAAAATCCAATCCTCATGTAACATAAGAACTCGGAGAACTGTTACATATTGCAGTTGCTTACCTGTGTCTGAAGCAGCACCTCAGTTAAATCAAATGATCAATTGTTTCACCCTTGCAGACAGAAGCACGGCTATGAACAAAAGAATGCCTTCATAACTCCTGTTTTCATCTTGATTTTAATCTTTCTTTATCCCAATTATTTGAAATTCATCTAATGTGATATTTTAGACTAGCCTGGGGACCTGTGACCACCCATGACCCAGATTCAAAACTCCGTTACCCAAGGATGAAGCTGGACACGTGTAAAGACGGCAAAGCAAGCAGCCTCCTTGTAGAGCGAAAACTACAACCAACAAGATCAATCCCTAGCAAGGGGTAAGTACACAAGCCTCTGTGTCTGCCAACAAATGATGAACAATCACTGTTGTTCCCCCATGCTTTTCTTTCTTCCATCATGCTTCACTCACTGGCAATGGTCTGATACCATCATGTAAAGCAGGTATGGGGAACCCATGGCCTGGGGACCAGATCCAGACCCCAGTTTGCCTGGATCTGGTCCTCAATGCTCGGGGCTCCCTCCCCAGTATCGGGGAGCCAGTGCGGGCACTGCAGCCCTGTGGCCCCCTGCCCCCACCAGTGACAGCTCTCTGCTATGTAGGGGGAAGCCCCAAGCCTCTCAGGTCAGATTCAGGCAAACGAGGGCTGGATCCAAACCATGGGCTCTGCCTGGTGTGGGGAGGAAGCAGCTCCGCATACTTCACTTCCTCCCTCCCCTGCTCCACCCAGCTGGGAAAATGGCAGCACAGCAAAGTGCTTCCTGGAAGCTTTTCCCCTGCTATTCCAATTGGCTATGAACATGGCCAATAGGAGCAGCAAGGGGTGGTGGGAGACATGAAGTCATATGCGTTCCTAGGGAGCTGTGCCAGGTAAGCGCCCCCTTCACCCAGACCTTTCCCCACAGGTATTTTGCCTCTAGTCGTGATCTCATTTCCTGCTTGCTTTTCCTAACAGTCCCTTTTGACTTACCTCCATATAGTTGATAACTGCCCTTACCACAATTGGCAATCATAGAGTGCGTTTAAATGAATACAGAATAGCCCAAATCCTCCACACATAGTACATACAACACTAGTGTTTAGGAAGATTGATATCTACCTCTATCTTAAAATCAATCACCTGGAGATGTCTCTACTGTTTTTCTTTTCAGGAGGCACATCTTGGTGAATCCTGAGACTCCTTCAATTTCCTCTACTCTGCCTATAAGCAGCCCACTGGAGGACAGGTTGCTGAGTGTCCGATTCCCTCCCAAAAAAGAAAGGAAACTTCAAACTCTGCCCCACTCTGTGTGCAGGCAGTCTCAGCGTCCTGCAGCAATGCGACACACTCTGGCTTTATAAAGGCATTTCGGGGGGTGGCTAACAACACAACAAGACCGCTTTTCTAATCCTGCAGATCACATTCTGCAATGTATTTTTACAAGCTATATTGTCTATTTTTTCCTTAATCTTGTATTAATACTCCATAGTTGATACTTGTTAGCATCAAAGTGAATATTCAATAAGCAACTATAGCCAAAGGGGTTAGTGTTTCCTAGCTGTTAATTACCGGGTAGGCTGAGATCTAGGAAGTGGGGTTGTGGACAACTTTTATGTCAAAACCCATCTTTTCTATTTTCATTACCAGAGCAAAGCTCTCAGGAGAGTGTGCTGGCCTCTAGACCATTTCATGTGAACCTGGGATTGTGCTGGGCCTCCCAATAAACTGCACACCTGTAGCCATTTTAATATAAAATTGGGCCTTTATTCCCCCAGCAAAAGGTCTTTGAGGAGGAGCTAGATGATCCTCTCTTCCCACCAGACGTCATCTGAGGAGCCGGCAAGCAGGCTTGCTGTGCTTCCCAATACAAGAATGGTTTTTGAAGGAGGCCCGGTAGCTACACACTACCTGCCATCTGAGACCTGAGGTGACTCAGTAGGGCCAGAACTCATTGACAGGGTTTGCCTCCATCTCAAGATCGTGGGATGGGGAGTGTGGCCTAGAACCCATCACATGGAAACTCCTCAAAGCCGGTAAAATCCTTTAGGTCTTGCCCTCTCCTTGAAGACATCTGAACTAAACATTTCAGTGTGGAGAGCCAGGGAAACCAACGCCAAGCGCTACAAACCAGATAAACTGAAATTCTCCCCCAACTCCAGATTCATTTCAGTGAACAAAACCCAAGAGGTTTTATGCAGTCCTGCTTGAGAACTCAAGCTCTCTATCCAACCACTCATAAATAGCCAGAAACTACCCAAGTCAGATTTCATATCACCCCAGTAAACTGTAACAGTAATAAACGAAGAAAACAGAAAATATCAAAGGTTTCACTCTGGTTTTGTCTATATCCTCCTTTTCATGCCAGCAAATTATTCTAATGAACAGACAAGCAGGATTGGTTCTCATCATTAGGCTAAGCTAACAATGTTATATTGTTACTCTTCAAGAGTCCTGCTAAATCAAGGCTCCTGCAAAAAGGTATTACAGGTTCAACTATTTCTGTCTGTTCCCATCTATTCTACTATGTTGTGGATTCCAATTACAACACTGTAATCCCTGAGGGTTTGTCTACACTACCACCCTAGTTCGAACTAGGGTGGTTAATGTAGTCATACGAACTTGCAAATGAAGCCCGGGATTTGAATTTCCCAGGCTTCATTTGCATGTTGCCAGGCGCCGCCATTTTCGTGCCCGCGGCTACACGCGGCACGAACTAGATAGTTCTAGCCGCAGGCACGGAGTCCGCACTAGCGGACATTTAAAAATGGCGGCACCTGGCAACATGCAAATAAAGCATGGGAAATTCAAATCCCGGGCTTCATTTGCAAGTTCGTATGACTACATTTACCACCCTAGTTCAAACTAGGGTGGTAGTGTAGACAAACCCTGAGAGAGTTAAAACATGGTTTGATCTTGCAGTGTAGCCATGATCTAAAGCCATGCTGTAGTACTAGACTTTAGCAGGGCAGTAGCAGAGTTCAGAAACATGTTTAAAATACTGTTTGGTACAAAATACAGGACTATGTAGCACTTTAAAGACTAACAAGATGGTTTATTAGATGATGAGCTTTCGTGGGCCAGACCCACTTCCTCAGATGAAATAGTGGAAGAAAATTGTCACAACCATATATACCAAAGGATACAGTTGAAAAAAATGAACACACATGAAAAGGACAAATCAAATTTCAGAACAGAAGGGGGATGCGGGGGGGGGGGGGGGGAGGGGGAGTGTTCTTGATCTTAGAACTCACTTGGTTAGGTCCAATAATGGTATCAGCAGAGTGACTATGTGGACAAAGCTGGCAACGAGGTTTGTTGCAAGGGAAGGTACCAGGGTTGATATTAGTGTGGTATGACCAGTGGTTGTTGGTGTGACGGGGAGACTCACCCCCGCACTAGCTGACGCGGGATCCGCAGCCCCGCGTGGAGGGTCAGCTGGTGCCGGGAGACCGGTGCCGCGCGGCGGGGCAGCCAGCAGGGTCGGGGGAATCATAGAATCATAGAATAATACGACTGGAAGGGACCTCGAGAGGTCATCGAGTCCAGCCCCCCGCCCTCAAGGCAGGACCAAGCTCCATCTACACCATCCCTGACAGATGTCTATCTAACCTGTTCTTAAATATCTCCAGAGAGGGAGATTCCACCACCTCCCTTGGCAATTTATTCCAATATTTGACCACCCTGACAGTTAGGAATTTTTTCCTAATGTCCAATCTAAACCTCCCCTGCTGCACTTTAAGCCCATTACTCCATGTCCTGTCCTCAGAAACCAAGAGGAACAAATTTTCACCTTCCTCCTTGTGACACCCTTTTAGATATTTGAAAACCACTATCATGTCCCCCCTTAATCTTCTTTTTTCCAAACTAAACAAGCCCAGTTCATGAAGCCTGGCTTCATAGGCTTCTCTAGACCTTTAATCATTCTTGTCACTCTTCTCTGTACCCTTTCCAATTTCTCCACATCTTTCTTGAAATGTGGCGCCCAGAACTGGACACAGTACTCCAGCTGAGGCCTAACTAGTGCAGAATAGAGCGGCAGAATGACTTCACGAGTTTTGCTTACAACACACCTGTTGATACAACCTAAAATCATATTTGCTTTTTTTGCAACAGCATCACACTGTTGACTCATATTCAACTTGTGGTCCACTATGACCCCTAGATCCCTTTCCGCCATGCTCCTTCCTAGACAGTCGCTTCCCATCTTGTATGTATGGAACTGATTGTTCCTTCCTAAGTGGAGCACTCTGCATTTCTCCTTATTAAACCTCATCCTGTTTACCTCCGACCATTTCTCTAACTTGCTAAGGTCATTTTGAATTATGTCCCTATCCTCCAAAGAAGTTGCAACCCCACCCAGTTTGGTATCATCTGCAAACTTAATAAGAGTACTCTCTATCCCAATATCTACATCATTGATGAAGATATTGAACAGTACGGGTCCCAAAACAGACCCTTGAGGAACTCCACTTGTTATCCCTTTCCAGCAGGATTTAGAACCGTTAACAACAACTCTCTGACTACGGTTATCCAGCCAATTATGCACCCACCTTATCGTGGCCCTATCTAAGTTATATTTGCCTAGTTTATCAATAAGAATATCATGCGAGACCGTATCAAATGCCTTACTAAAGTCTAGGTATATGACATCCACCGCTTCTCCCTTATCCACAAGGCTCGTTATCTTATCAAAGAAAGCTATCAGATTAGTTTGGCATGACTTGTTCTTCACAAACCCATGCTGGCTATTCCCTATCACTTTATTACCTTCTAAGTGTTTGCATATTTTGGAGAACTACATGGCAGCGGCCAGTGGAGAAGAAAGGCCAGGGCGGAGTCCGGAAGGACCCGGAGGTCGAGGCGAACAAGGGAGAGCACGCACAGCTAGGGTGCGAGTGCCAGGGGTCGGGCCCCCAATACTGTGGAGAAGGTGGGGAGAAAGCGTAGCCCCAAGCCCTCCAGGCCCGCCCAAAACAACCGTTGTCCGAGAAAGTGAGGGGACCCCCGGGAAGCCCCCAGAGACCACAGCCAGAGGAGCCTGCTTTGAATGTGGCCAGGAGGGGCACTTCAGGAGGGACTGCCCATTTATGGACTGCTCCTACGGGAGAGCGTCGGGGGCAGACCAGCGGGCGAGGGGCCGTGACGACTGTAAGATCACCGTGCAGGTAGGCATCACGGGACAAGTGGTGTGGGCCCTAGTGGACACGGGTTGTAATCAGACGCTAGTCCGGAAAGAGCTGGTATCCCAGGAAGGGGCCACGGGCCCCACCGTAGCGATGCAGTATATCCACGGGGAGGTAAGGCACTACCCAACGCAGGCGCCCTGCCGAGTCGCGGTGGCCCCCAATTTGGCTTACCCCGTAGTGTTGGGGCGGAACTGGCCAGGACTGCCCCGGCTGATTCAAGACTGGGGGAGGGCACACCCTGACCCGAAGGGAGGCAGACGGCCACGCTACAATGAAGAGGAGCCTGCACGGGAAGCCCAGGCCGGGGACGTGACAAGTGGCAGAGTCGGACGGGAGATTCCAGAGGCCGACTCTGATTTCGTAAGGGAGCAGAGGGAGGATGAATCCTTGAAGCACGCCTGGGAACAAGCGGGAACCGAAGAGGACCCCGACGGACAGGGGGAGCAGGGGCCTCGGTTTGAGGTAAGAGGCGAGCGCTTGTACCGGGTAGTCTCCCATCCGGGGCAAAAAGAGGGGGGTGCAGCGATGGCTGGTGCTGGAGGCGGCCCACACCAATCCCTGGGCAGGACACTTGGGGACTGAAAAGACTCTGCAGCGTATACTGCAGATATTTTATTGGCCAGGGATCCATAAAGAGGTTAAAGACTTTTGCAGCTCCTGCCCGGAGTGTCAGCGGGTGGCGGGGAAGAATGTGGCCTGTGCTCTGCTCGTACCCTTACCAGTGGTGGACGTGCCCTTTAGAAGGGTCGCGCTGGATCTGGTGGGGCCCCTGGAACGGTCACGGAGGGGCAACTGCCATATCTTAGTGTTGATAGACTATGCCACCCGCTACCCAGAGGCGGTTCCGCTTCACAACACCAAGGCCCCGACCTTGGCAGGGGAACTGGTCAAGGTGTTCGCCAGGGTAGGCTTACCCCAAGAGATACTGACAGACCAGGGGGCGAACCTGACGGGGCGGGTCATGGCGGAACTCTGCCGCCTGTTGAAAGTGAAACAGCTCCGCACCTCCGTATACCACCCTCAGACGGATGGGTTGGTAGAGCGTTTTAACAGGACACTTAGGACCATGCTTAGAAAGTTCGTAGAGTTAGACCCCCGGGACTGGGACCAGTTCCTCCCGGCTCTCCTGTTTGCAGTACGGGAAGTACCCCAAGCCTCTACCGGGTTCTCCCCATTTGAGCTGCTCTACAGGAGACAGCCCCATGGGATCTTAGACCTAATCAAGGAGGAGTGGGAAGAACAGCCCACGAGGGTACGAGGGACAGTACAGTATATTATGGAGCTGCGCGAAAGAATGAAGGTGGTGGGCGAACTGGCTCAGGAGAACCTCCGCAAGGCCCAGGCAAGGCAGGCGCACTATTACAACCAAGGGGCACGGGCTCGGACCTTTGCTCCGGGGGACCAAGTCCTGCTGCTGCCGTCGGCCGAGTCGAAACTGCTGGCGAAGTGGCAAGGCCCCTATGAAGTAGTGCGGCAAGTGGGCCCAGTTGACTACAAGATCAAACTCCTGGACCGGCGGAAAGGAACACAGATCTACCACGTGAACTTGTTAAAAGGATAGAGGGAACGAGAAGGCCTCATGGTCAGCCTACAAAGGTCCGAGCCAGAGTTGGGACCCTGGGGCGGCGACATCGAAAACGCCGGGAAGGAGGTGACGCTGGGAACGGAGCTGACGGCAGCCCAAATGGACGAGATGAGGAACCTGCTACAAGAGTTCGCGGGGGTGTTGTCAGCCCAGCCAGGTAGGACAACGGCAGGGTACCACCATATCCAGACTCCACCCGGCCAGAAGGTGCGAGTACCCCTCCGTCCTTTACCCTCCCCAAGCGGGACGGGACCTTACGGTTCTGCATTGATTTCAGAAAGGTTAACGCCATTTCCCGTATGGACGCCTATCCGATGCCCCGGGTAGAAGAATTGCTGAAGAGGCTAGGGCAGGCGCAGTTCCTGTCAACATTGGACCTGACGAAGGGGTATTGGCAGATCCCACTTACATCAGCCTCGCAGGCGAAAACTGTCTTTGCCACCCCGTCCGGGCTATATCACTTCCTCACGATGCCCTTCGGTTTGAACGGGGTGGCGGCCACCTTCCAGAGGGTAATGGACAGGGTGCTGAGAGACCACCAGGCATACGCCGCCGCCTACATTGATGATATTATCATATACAGTGCATCCTGGGAGGAACACCTAGCGCACGTCTGGACTATTCTTCAGGCACTAGAGGAAGCCCGGTTAACGGCCAACCCTAGTAAGTGTGTGTTTGGCCAGTCAGAAGTGATGTACCTGGGGTATGTGGTAGGAAGGGGGTGCCTGAAGCCCCAGGTAACCAAGGTGGAGGCGGTGCAAAAGTTCCAGGCTCCGTCTAC